TTTTCTCGGGGCTTGCCTGTACTCCCACTGGAATAAGTTTGTGGTGTGGAGCAGTGAAACATAGTTCTTGTCAAACTTAATGACCTGCAGAGCTTCATTTAGCAGCAACTCATCTGACTCCAACCCATGAGCTGGACCAAGAGAGCAGAAATCACTGTGTATATGTGGGTGATTCAATAATTGAGCACCCATGGGGTTTTTCCATGGTCCTTGAATTAAATATGTTCTAACTGATCTCTCTTTCCAAACACTGTATAAGTACAAACTAATCAGGCAGCATTTTTTCCATGCTGGTTAACAACAGCAGGCGACAGGAGCAGCTACCACAGATACTAAAAGGAATCTGTCTTCACTCACGGGGAACTTGACTTCATTTTCCTTTGCTTAGAGGTTGATTTGGAGAAATGTAAAGTCCATACTTTTTATACTATCACAATATGTATCTATATTTTTGGTATATACAATGAATGATTCTGCAACATTAAAAAAAAACCAGCATGTTAACTCTAAGGCATACCTTACTACACAATCTGTGAGAATAACAAAAAAGTTAAGCATCCCCCTGAGACCCTGAAGTTGGAGAGCAGCTGTGGTCCCATACCAGTCACTGATATGGTCCACACAGGAGCCCAAAATATGAAAAAGGGAGTATGAGTTCTTCACCTTGGGGTCACTAAGTTTTGGAGAGAAAATGAGTAACGCAAGGACATTTTCCCTGGGGATCACACCAATATTTGGGAGGCAAATAGGAAGAGGAGTGGAGACTGAGAATTAATAGTCCAAGAAGTAGAAGGCAAACCAAGAGACAGAAAAATCGGACACCAAAATGGAAGAAGGGGTTTAGAAGGGAGTGATCAGGTGAGGAAACGTGGTTTTCCAGGCGAACTGCTTCTCTAGCCCCAGTTAAACTTTGAAATAGTTGTAGTTCCAGCTGACAAGCTTGTGAGAAACCCTCAGCCAGCACCACCCAGCTAAGTCTCTCCCAAATTCCTGATCCTCAGAAAATGTTTGTTATTGTAAATTGCTAAGTATTGGGGTAATTAGTTACACAGCAGTAGACACCTAATACAGTGAGAGCCATTTCAGTGGAGCAATGGGGTGGAATCCAAGACACATTGGGCTAAACAGTGATTTAGGAAGAGGAAATGGGAAAATGAAATGTAGAAGTCTTTCATAAATCTTGAGGAAAAGAAAAATTGAGGAAAAATTGAGGAATTTGAGTAATGACAAAAATAGCATGGATTTGGCACCAGGGAAGAGTGTGATTGTTTTTGTTCTTTAATGGGAACCATATTTTTATCTTGAGAGCAAAAAGTCGATACACAACAGAGTTTGAAGATAAAGATTCTGTGGGGATCTTGTTGGGATTGCCAACACAGACGTGAGAAAGGGGATGGGGCGGTGCAGGTAACTGAAACGGTACGAGGGGAAGAAGTGAAACCCTAATGGCTCCAGCATTTATGACTCTACCTCTTGCTGGCTCTAGGTCATTCTGTAAACATGCCATCTCTAAGTTACCCAGTCTTTTCAGGTTCCAAGGACCACTAGGTGCTCCTAACTGTCCCGCCAGGAAACTTGGATATCAAACTGTAAGATAGGAATGAACTCACAATATGAACACTTTGGTTATGTTTCAGGTATTTAATTTCACCTGATCAAAGCTAGAATTTCATACAATCTAAGAGCATAAGAGACATGCTGTTCTGGGGTTGTTTGCTAGAGAAGGTGGAAGGACCCTATGAGAACTACAATTAAGTTCTTCAGTAAAAGTTAAGGGCCCATGATTCCAATACCATCAATTCGGATTTTGGCATAATTCCCTCCCAGCCCGAGCTTTGAATCTTTTGCTTAACGTTTTCCTCCACTTGGTATGCTCTTCACCGCATCCTGTGCCTAGGCTCTGCATGGTCAAATTGTAACCAGTTCAGAGGTCACACACTTCATTCTTTGTTTCCTAATGCTGCCCGTTGGTTTTGACATCTCTTTTCTCTGATTCCTGTAGCATTTTCTTTGTGCCTCTTATTTTTTGTGTTGTGCCTTTTTTTAGTCACGTATCTTCTTTTAATAATGCCCCAGTTACTCTATCAACACCTCTGACTCAGAGGCCATGCCGCATTGACCTCAGTATTCTTAATACTTGGCATAGCACCTAGCATATAATGCTCTGCCTGAGGCATGGTCTATAGAATGCATTTGATGTAGTATTTGATGCATATTGGGTTGTCCTTTAACTTTTGCTTTCCCTTTTTATTGGTTGGAGAAATGACTGACTGCTTGTATAGATGGATGTATGAACTGATCAATAGAGGAAGATACTCTCACAGTTTTGCCTGTCCTTGAAGCACTCAAGTAAGTAAAATGCTGCATACCTTAGAAATGTGTTACTTCTTCCTATTTTCATAGCTGTAAGGAACGCTTGGGACTGGAAAATTGTACTGAAGATTATTTTCAATATTATTGAAAGTTATTTTCTGACAATTAGCTGTCATGATTGAGAACTGGTTTAAGGCACTCTAGTTATGAAGATCCAGTGCCTCTGCAGTTTCACTTCCTGGTCTCAGAGACCCCTGTGACTGGGCAAGTGTTCATCACATGACACAATAAAGCTTTGATTAAATTTCATTCTGTGAAATATGTACATTCATATATTAGTAGCCTTTCACTTTTCTCAGAAACAATTACTTATGTTTATGATTTTGTTCTTATCCAGACAGATCTCTTTTTTTAGCTTTTAAGTAGGGGAGAAAAGCAGAGAGTACCTAGAAGTTCTGAGGTGTAAAGGAAGGGAAGGAAAATCTGTATTAATGGACATAAGCCTACAGTTATGAGGTGTTAACTCTACCACACACTTGACTTCTACAGTGTCACTTCGACCCTCATACCAACACTTTAAGGCAAATATTGTGATCCTTATTTTACAAATGTAAAATCGAATGATGTTGAGTTATTTGCTCAAAGTTACATAGCTAAAAAGCAGCGCAGTTAGGATTTCAATCTGGGACACCTCACTTCAAAGCTTCAGCCTTTGCCACTACACCAGATTGTATTTGCAGCTCATGGGTATAAGTAGAATCCCTTCCCTGTACTTTTATTTGATTGCAATATATTTACGGAGCCTTTGAAACTCAGTCTTTTTAAAAGCTGTCTCACAAATGTAGTTTTCTCATTTACTTTTTATAATGAATTATTTTTAACTTAGAGAAAACTATAGAGAAGGACAACACAAGCTGTGTATCTACATACACATTGACAGCTTCAACAAAGTCTGACAGTTTGCCATTTTTGTTCCCAAACTTGGGTTTTGAAAAACTAAAACATTAATAACACAATTGAAATTTCTGATATACCCCTTCCTAATTCTCAGGTTCTTCCTTCCATTCCCAGAGGCAATAATTATTCTGAAATTGGTTTGTATCATTTCTGTTTGTGTCGTATTCTTACTAAACATGTGTATACATAAATATTTCTTATTTTTCTGTGGAGTTTTTAAAACAATGAATGAGTGGTATCACCCTTTATGCAATATTCTATAACCTGTGTATTTTGCTTAACATACTTCACATAATATTTCATAATTGATGTATGTAAGATTCTTTTCATGCTTGCATATGTAGCTCTAACTTATTTATTTTAGTCACTGTATAGAACTTCATGGAAACAAGTTATTCATTATCCTGTTAATGAAAAAGAGATTGTTTCTAAATCCCGTGATTGCGAACAATGATATCACAAGCATTGTTGTGCATGTCCTTTGGAGTAAGTGTGTGAGTTTCTCTAGACAAGCACTGTTCAATAGAAATATCATGCATGCCACATATGTAATTTAAAATTCTAGTAACCACATTAGAATAGAAAAAGAAACAGATAAAATGTTAATTCCAAAATTAGAATTTTTAATTATAATACTATATTTTGTTTAATACAGTGTATCTAAAATACTATCATTTCAGTAAGTAATTAACATAAAATTGTGAATCAAATATTGTACTAAGAAAATGTTTTCTTGTACTAAGAAAATTATAACCAGTTGAAACTTGTAAAAGAAAATATTTTTCTTTTAAATCTAGTGTTCCTTTTATACTTAGAGTACATTTCTATTTTTCAATTGCTCTATAGCTACAAGTGGCTAGTAGCTACTATAACAGATAGTGTAGCTATAGCCTATGTACCTAAAAGAATTATTGAGTTGTAATGTAAGCAAAGCAACTTTACCAAGTGTTATAAAATTGCTTTCAAAGTCGTTGTCCCAATTTCACTCCCAGCAGGAATGTGTGAAAGTTTCCACTTCTCCACATCCTTGCCAAACAGCTAAGTTATTGAAAGATATTTCAATTTGTGGAAATTAGAAGTATGGGAAATATCTCATTTTTAAAGTTGTTTTTTTTCTGATTTATAGCTTTATTGAGCCTTTCATCACATATTAATTGTACTTTCAGTATTCCTCTTCCATGAATTGCCTATTCTTTGCCATTTTGGAAGTATCAATTTGTAGAAGTTTTTGACATACTTATTACAAATAGGTCCTTTCAGACTATGGCTTATATTTTACCTTCTCTAAGGTAAAAAAAAAAAAAAAAAAAAAAAAAAAAAAAAAAAAAAAAAAAAAAAAAAAAAAAAAAACTGCCACAACCACTATCCTCACTGCTGATGCCCGGGCCAGTTTAGGCTGTCTCAGAACTTTTTGTGTATGGAATATAAAAGTATGCTTCCTTTTTAGTCTGATTGCTTTTTCTTAATATTATGTTTTTGAGGATCATACTCCAAAAATTAAATTTATCTATCTATCTACCTATCCATCTATCTATCTATCATCTATCTATTTATTTTGAGATGAAGTTTTGGCTCTTGTTGCCCAGGCTGGAGTGCTGTGGCGTGATCTTGGCTCACTGCAACCTCCGCCTCCCGTGTTCAAGCGATTCTTCTGCCTCAGCTTCCCACGTAGCTGGGATTACAGGTGCCCACCACCAGACATGACTAATTTTTTTTTGTATTTTCAGTAGAGACAGGGTTTCACCATGCTGACCAGGCTGGTCTTGAACTCATAACCTCAGGCGATTCGCCCACCATGGCCTCACCTCACCACATCAGCAGTGAGGATAGTGGTTGTGGAAGTTGTTGTTTTTTTTTTTTTAAGCTAGTCAATGTTATCAATAATATCCTTTCTTGTCAATTCTTAGTGATTCTTGAAAGAAATTCTTGCATATCTCTTTTTTAAAAACCTTTTATTTCAGGTTCAGGGATAGATGTGAAGGTTTGTTATATAGGTAATTTCATGTCATGAGGTTTTGTTGTACAAATCATTTCATCAATCAGGTATTAAGCCCAATACCCAATCTTTTTATTTTAAGCTCTTTGAGAATTATCTAAACTCTTCTCCAAGTGGCTGAACTAATTCACCTGCCATCCTCCAGTCTCAATGAGATCCCAGTTTCTGTTGTTTCCTTCCTTGTGTTCATGGGTCCTCATCATTTAGCGCCCACTTATAAGTGAAAACGTGGTATTTGGTTTTCTGTTCCTGCATTAGTTTGCTAAGGATAATGGCCTTCAGGTCCATCCATGTTTCCACAAAAGACATGATCTCATTCTTTTTTATGGCTACTAGTATTCCATGGTGTATATGTACCAGATTTTCTGTATCCAATCTGTCATTGATGGGCATTTAGGTTGACTCCATGTCTTTGCTATTGTATAAATCATTGGCAGAATGATTTATACCTCTGGGTATGTACCCAGTAATGGGATTGCTGAGTCGAATACTATTTCTGCTTTTGGCTCTTTGAGGAATCACCATACTGCTTTACACAATGGTTGAGCTGATTTACACTCCCAGCAACAGTGTATAATTGTGGCCTTTTCTCTGCAACCTGGCCTGTATGTGCTTTGTTTGTTTTGTTTTTATTTTTTAGTAATAGCCATTCTGACTGGTGTGAGATGATATATCATTGTGGTTTTGATTTGCATATCTCTAATGACTAGTGATGTTAGTATTTTTTCATATGCTTGTTGGCTGCATGTTTGTCTTCTTTTGGAAAGTGTCTGTTCAAAAGTGGCTGGCAAGATGGCCAAATAGGAACAGCTCTGGTCTACAGCTCCCAGGGAAAGCAACACAGAAAATGGGTGATTTCTGCATTTTCAACTGAAGTACCTGAGTCATCTCACTGGGACTGGTTAGACAGTGGGTGCAGCCCACAGAGGGCAAGCCAAACCAGGGTGCGGCGTCGCCTTATCTAAGAAGAGCAAGGGGTTGGAGAGCTCTCTGCCCTTGCCAAGGGAAGCTGTGAGGGACCGTGCTGTGAGGGATCGTGCATTCTGGCCCAGATACTACACTTTTCCCACAGTCTTCGCAGCCCACAGATCAGGAGATTCCCTCAGGTGCTGCACCACCAGGGCCCTGGTTTCAAGCACAAAACTGGGTGGCTGCTTGGGCACACAGCAAGCTAGCTGCAGGAGTTATTTTTCATACGACAGAGGTGCCTGGAACACCAGCAAGATAGAACCGTTCACTACCCTGGAAAGGGGGCTGAAATCAGGGAGCCAGGTAATCTAGCTCAGCAGATCCCACCCCCACAGAGCCCAGCAACCTAAGATCCACTGGCTTGAAATTCTGGCTGCCAGCACAGCAGTCTGAAGTCCAACTGGGATGCTCAAGCTTGGTGGGGGGAGGGGTGTCTGCCATCACTGAGGCTTGACTAGTTAATTTTCCCCTCACAGTGTAAACAAAGCCGCCAGTAAGGTCAAAACGGGCAGAGCTCACCGCAGCTCAGCAATGCTGCTATAGCCAGACTGCCTCTCTAGATTCTTCCTCTCTGGGCAGGGCATCTTTGAAAGAAAGGCAGCAGCTCCAACCAGGGTTTATAGATAAAATTTCCATCTCCATGGGACAGAGCACCTGGGGATAGAAAAACCTGGCAGAGACACAAAAAAAGAAAATTTCAGGCCCATATCCCTGATGACTATTGAAGCAGAAATCCTCAATAAAATACTGGCAAACCGAATCCAGCAGCACGTCAAAAAGCTTATCCACCACAATCAAGTCGGCTTCATCCCTGGGATGCAAGGCTGGTTCAACATATGCAAATAAATAAACATGATTTATCACATAAACAGAACCAATGACAAAAACCACATGATTAGCTCTGTAGATGTAGGAAAGGCCTTCAATAAAATTCAACACTCATTCATGCTAAAAACCCTCAATAAACTAGATATTGATAGAACCTATCTCAATAAGATCTATTTATGACAAACCCACAGCCAATATCATACTGAATGGGCAAAAACTGGAAGCATTCCCTTTGAAAACTGACACAAGACAAGGATGCCCTCTCTCACCATTCCTATTCAACATAGTATTGGAAATTCTGGCCAGGGCAATCAGGCAAGAAAAAGAAATAAAGCATATTCAAATAGAAAGAGAGAAAGTCAAATCGTCTCTGTTTGCAGATAACATGATTGTATATTTAGAAAACCCCATCAACTCAGCCCAAAATCTCCTTAAGCTGATAAGCAACTTCAGCAAAGTCTCAAGACACAAAATCAATGTGCAAAAATCACAAGCATTCCTATATACCAATAATAGACAAACAGAGAGCCAAATCATGAGTAAACTCCCATTCACAATTTCTACAAAGAGAATAAAATACCTAGTAATACAACTTACAAGGGATGTGAAGGACCTCTTCAAGGAAAACTACAAACCACTGCTCAAGAAAATAAGAGAAGACACAATGGAAAAACATTCAATGCTCATGGATAGGAAGAAGCAATATTGTGAAAATGGCCGTACTGCCCAAAGTAATTTACAGATTCAGTGCTATCCCCATCAAGCTACCATTGATTTTCTTCACATAATTGGAAAAAAATCACGTTAAACTTCATATGGAACCAAAAAA